ACTTATGAATATTATCTTGCTCTCTAGGACTTAAAGCATGAGTAAGCCTTCTTTTCCTAGGTAACAGTTCTTGCATATTTCTGTCAAGGTCATCTCCCTTACTTCTCTACATTGATTGACACTTACTGGGCTAATCATATTACTTCATGAGGATATCTTAATGCAAGTTAAATGTGATGCTAATAATGCTCTCACATTCTTAATCCCCACACAAAATGGTTTTAAGCAAAGATGTATCCTTGCCCATCTTTTAGTTTCTATGTCAATGGAATCATGCAAGCCCTATCTAAGGGAAATTTTACCATCTCTCATTAAAACATCATTCAAACCACTTGCTGCTTCATTCAAAAACACAACTATTCTCTCTTTATCATAAGTAGGCCTCCAGGTGCCAGCTGAATATTGCCATGTTGAGGTACTGGAAATAGATTATTGTAAAACAAATGTTTGCTTTTGACAAAGAGATGCTGTCAGCATAAGTGGAAAATCAGTTGTTTCCCAAATGAGCAGGTAAACCACTAAGCAGACACTTAGACATTTATTTCCAGTCCTCTGCTTCCTAGAAATAGCAAATGTGCATAGTTATAGACTGGGCTCAGAATACTCCCAACACAGTTATTAAATACCTGTGGCCATTAAATTATTTAATACTAAACTGCCTTTTATTATTATGTAAAGCCATAGGAATATACTGTATACTTAAATAGTTCCACTATTTGGAGTTGGAGTCATGGAACTTCTAAATGGCATGACTTAAGATAACAGCTCTTTGGTTTGGTTATTTGATGGCTATTACTAATATCTTTTTGTTACTTGCCTTTGGTGTGTACTGGACTGCTGTCCTTTTTTTTTTTTTTTTGCCTACAACTGCAAATCAGTAAAGTAGATCTTTTGGGAGCCAGCATGGCATATGGTTAGTCCCAGTGTTATGTTCCTGCCTGTTACGCTATTTAAGGAAACAAGCTGGGGAGGTAGGAAGCAGGCTAAAGAGAACTATTATGCCAACACAGATGAAGTGCTCCCAGTACCATCAAAGTAAAGTCCAAGTTCACATTGATTCAGAAATCCAGAAAGAAAAAGTCTAGAATTGAAACCCTGGAGCAGGGACAAATACATATCGGAGTCTTTATTTTTACGTACTGCAGGAGACAAGTCTTTTGTATGCACGTCTTCATTTTTTGTTTTTTTGGGGGGGATCTAATAACAATACTAATCGAGATGAATATGTGTAGCTCAGGGTTGAACTGTGGAGTCCTTGGGGTTCTCTGAGCTTGGT